TTACTAATACTTTGTGGTTTTTATTATTTGGCTTCATTTTAAAGAAATTACACCCAATTTTAACTTCTAAATATGTAATACCCTGCTGACTCAAATGCACGATTTTAAAAGATTAATTTCTGTTTATATTTTGTGTATAATATGAGGCAGAGATCTAAATTTTATTTTTTATATCTTCCCAAATTTCCCTATATTACTCATGTAATAGACTGTCATCTTGTCATTTATTTATAAATTTGCCACCGATATATACTAAATTTTGAAAAGGTACAGGTCTTTTTCTGGGCTTTCTGTTCTTTTTAATTTATCCACTTGTCTATTTCTGCATCTGTATTATATTTCCTTAATTATTATTATAGAAGTATAAGAACTTTTGTTTACAGTGAGCAATTACTCATGATTTCTTTTTCGAAGTTATATTGATTAACCTTGGTCAGTTTCTTATCATATTAATAGTATTATTAATTATCAGTATCATCAGTATTATTGTTAATGTCATGTTGATACCATTAATATTGTTGTATGAATATTATCATTATTAATATAATCATATTAATCTTATGATCAGTTTGTCAAATTACAAATGATTTGTTTTTAGAAAATTAATTTTAAATGCATTAGTGACTTCCTCTTTGGCTTCCCTTTCTCTTTTTCCTTTTAGAAACATTAGAGTAAGTCAGCATCTTTATTATAGTGGGCCATCTTAGTCATAAACTTTGCTGATCTCTGTTTCTTCCAGACTACTGTATTTTAAAGCAATGTATTATTCTTTACCATAAAGTCATGTACATCATTCATTACAATTATCTTTACTTATTTCATAATTTTGTTATAATTGAAAATACATTTTTATTTCCAACACAGTTTTGCTATTTCTTATGACTACGTATAGAAGCATCTTTGAATTTTATGCATTGATTTCATACACAGGACCTCCACAAACGTTCCTATTAGTTGAATTGTTAATTCATGTAAAATCATGAATGAGCAGTCCTGTTATTTATAAGCAATAGCAACTGGAGTTTTTCTGTTCTACTGTATATGTGTTATTTATTTTTCATATTTCATTACACTTAGTAGGATTTCCAGTACAATGTTTGACTGTGGCATTTAATTTCTAAGTACTTAGTAATTTTAGAAGTTTTTGTTACAGGTTTAATTTCTAAATTAATTCCATTGTAATAAAAGAATATATTCTGTATTATTTTACTCCTGTAACAATAGAGACCAGTTTTATGGTTCATCAATGTCTTATCACCAAGAACATTTAGCACGTATTTGAAAAAACTACTAAAAATGTGGAAGTGAACATCATAATTGAGAAATGATTTATTCCTTCTTTCAGTTTTTCTTCAGGTGTTCGAAGCTCTGTGTCTTGTACACGTATTTAGGGTTGTGATATCTTCTTTGTCATTATGAAATCTCCCCCTTTATCTCTAATAGTATTTCTCATGTTGAAAACTAGTGTCTGATACCAATGCTGCAGAGTCATTTATCTCAATATGAGAACCTCCACAGTACCAAGCTTTCTGAATCTATGTTGATATGTCTATATTTTAAGCATATTTCTTTTTTAAAATTTAAAAACAAATTTTTTAAATTTTATTATTATTATTATTTTTTTTTTTGCTTTTTTGAGACATGGTCTCACTATGTAGTTGAGACTGATCTGGAACTCACTCTATAGCTCAGGCTTGTCTCACAGTGATCCTCCTGCCTCAGCCTCCCGAGTGCTGGGATTACAAGCATGTGCCATCATGCCCGGCTCAATTTTAAGTATATTTCTTATAAACAACATATAGTTCAGTTTTGCTTTTTTATATACAGTTTGACAATCTATTTCTTTAATTGGACGCTTTTGTCTTTTTATATTTACTAGAAATGCAATTGGCATCGCATAGTTTAAATCTTCTTCCTACTTTCTCATTTCTTCTAGCTAGCTATATTTTCATCTTTTCCTGCCTCTTCTTTTGTTTTGAGTATTTTTCTAAAGGCCTTTTATTTCCCCTATTGACTTACAAGTTGACTGTATTTGTTTTATATATTTACTGCTTGCCCTGAATGTTAAAAGGTACATATTTAATTTGTACAGTCTTCGTTCAGATAACATTAGACTTTATTATTCAGAATGCAAGAATCTTAAAGTTAACTTCACAGCAACACATTCTGTATTTTGGTATAGTAACACACTTTTTCTACATGTTACAAATTCCCAAAAATATAATTTTTCCTTTAAATAATTTTTTGAATAAATGGTTAAAATGAGGATGTTTACTCACATCTTTTCCATTTCAAGCAACTTTATTTCACTTTACTCTACTATGTACTTTTACATTTCCTTCTATAATATTTTCTTTGTCTGGAGAAGCTCCTGTAACTGTTCTTGAAGTAAAGATGTTCTGGCAATAAGTACTTTAAGCATATTTGCCAGAAGAATACACTTATTATTTCTTTATTTCTGACATATTTAAATTGATACTGAATATCAGATTGCCTAAACTGGGCATGGTGGCGCATGCCTGTAATCCCATCACTTGGGAGGCTGAGGCAGGAGGAACGCTTAGAGTTCTAGACCAGCCTGGGCTACACAGTGAGTTCCAGAGCAATCTGAACTATGTAGTGAGACCCCGTCTCAAAAAAAAAAAAAAAATCAGATTGCCTAGCTATATCTTTTCTACAACACTTTAAAGATGTCATTCCATTGTCTTCTGTATTGTTGCTATTCTGACAAGGAGTCTGTTATTTTTATCTTTTTTCCTTTTTAATATATATATTCACCATTTTTAAGAATTTTTCCTTGACAACAATTTTAGGACTTTGATTCTATGTGCTGTAGTGTGGCTCTGTTAGTGTCCATCTTTCTGGGAGTTTAATATACTTATTGGATCTGTAGATTTATCTTTATCTGTAGGTTTATCTTTTTAGCTATTATATCTTCAAGTATGTTTTTCTGTTCCCACACACTTTCTTTAGCTCCTGTCACTTTTATACACATGCTAGAACACATGCTAGTACTATCTGATAGGCTACTGAGATTATGCTTTTTAAAGCATTTTTTATATATTTTTTTCTTAAAATATTAAGAGTCTTTATACGGACTTCTGAAGCTCTTTCTGTATCTCTTGCTTTTCATGTATTTTGCCTTGAAAATTCTAGCATTGTTACCTTCTTGAAAAGCTGATCTTTGATTTATTTTGATGGAAACCTCCATATCTGTTTAGGTTCTTTTCCCAGTACCCTGGTCAGAAACTTCCTCTATTCAGAAATTTTTACTGATTGCAAGGCTTATTTTATTTTACTTTTTCCTTTTCAGAAATTATAGCCCTGTAATGTAGAATGCCCAGTTCATAAGATGTGTTATTGTGTATATTATGTTCCATTTTTTAGTTGTTTATCATGAGAAGTTAAGTTTGGACCAGTACTTACTCCTGACCAGAAAGAGGAGACATCTTGTGTGATTTTAAATTAACCTTTATTGTTTTTACTAATATTGCTCTCATCAACAGTTTAAAATAGCCAGAATCTAGATGGTAATCCTTAAAACAAGAAGTTAGTTTTATCTAGAAAATACTTATCTGTTTCAACCAGATTTTTTTCTCTGAATGGATTTCTAATTAAATTTAACAATATCTTTCTCTAGAGAAGTGAAATAATGTTTATTTGGGGGATATGTTACTGATTGCTGTGCTGCTCCTTTAATTGAATGCCTACATGTTGTCATATAAATAGTTTTTACCCTGTTTCTTAACCTCTAAAATGAAAAATGAGTGATAAGGTGAGACACTATTTTACATTTAGGCTTCATTATATTCCTCTAGCATTCTGAAAGGAAATGAAGTTACAGCTACATGGCTGGAACTGGAATTTAAACACCGGATTATGTCTCAGTCTCTTAAGGAAATGCTGCCCCTGTTATTTCCCAAATGTATATGGTTTCCTTCACTTGTAGAATGTTGATTTTTTTTTTTAATTCTGGAATTTCAGTCCTTTCCTAGTAGAAAATTTAATGCTGTATAACTGCTTCAAATAAATTTTCTAGGAGACAAAATAACACTTTTAAATAGAAGACAGCATTATGTGGCACCATCTTGTGCTAGTACAATTTATTCCTTTATTTTCCCCTCAATTCTCTTTCATAGATTTATTTTATTCATTAAATTTATTGGTGTATTTTAGGTATACAATATGATGACATTCATTATTGGGAATTTGTACCTTCACATGATACAGCTTTTTTTTTTTTTTTTTTTTTTTTTTTAAATCTGTGAGCCTGTCCTTCCTTCAACCCCTCCACACCTCCCAGTTTACAAAGACTTTGTTTCTGCTTTTTCCTTTTCTCATATTTCCTTTCCTTTACCCCAACCCTCCCACTTCCCCTTCCTTTCCCCTCTGGACCTCTTTTCCCTATTTCGCATTATCTATCATATATTTTGCTCCTTGTACAATTTAAATGGCTATCTTTCATAAACGAAATCTATTTTAAAATTCTAGCTATAAAACAGTTGAGGAAGCATTGTAAACACAGGAGCATTCTGTTATTTTCCTTGGCCTTTAGAAAGTACTTCTTTTGAATCTTACTTTATTTTAGGTCCTGAAATAATTTTACAAAGTGTACATAGTTTTCTTTCAAAGGTCATGAGCAAGTACAAATATACCCATTTTAGTACAAACCAAAGCTTTTAGTCTCTCCTGTACCTCAGTGCCTTCCTCAAGGCTGAAAATGAAAGCATATCTAAATTTGCAAACAGTGGCTCATTTCCTGGAGTTGGACAAAACGCAAATTACATTAAAAGTGTTCAAAGGTGAGGTGGTAAAACCGAGTTCATGCTGGAGGATGAAGGCAAATGCTGCTGTTCTTCTTGGCTTTGATGCCATAAGTCCAAGTTTAATAAGTGAGTGCATTTTCATTTACATTCAGGCTCTCAAATTTTTTTGGTAACAATAAGCTGTAGTCCAGAAAGATCTCATCTTATCATCATTATCTTATCATCTTATCATCATCATCATCGTCGTCATCATCTTCACTAAAACAAAACAAAAATGGCACACTGCAATAACAAAAATAAACACAAACCCAGCACAGCAAATACAGTGAAAAGTGAGCACTCCAGAAATTTGACAAAATTTCCTCATTAAATCATACTTTTTTTGTTTCTCTCCTATGATAAATGTTTAAAGATCAACGGTAATGTTGATTACTAATAAATTACTGACTTGGTCTATGATTTTGGAAGATAGTAGCAAATGAAAGGAGTACTCTAAACAAATACTGGTTTGTATCTGTGAATATATAAAAGCGCATTGGGAAGGAAGGCCATTAATTTAGAGTAGCATAAAAATTTGAAGATTACTTCAACAGGTATTCAAAACCATGCATTTGAAATCCATGATAGGAAAATATGTACTTTATTAAGAAGACAAATTTTCAAGGAAAATTTCTACTACTCAGATTTTCATGAATGGCATTTTGAAACTTGATGGCAGAAAATGTGCAAACTAGAGATATGTTCATTCTCTTACCACTCTATATTTAGAGACTAAAGGTAGTATGAGCTGCTTTCCTATTTTTGTTGAAATGCCCAGAGAAAGCAAATATTTTTAATAGAGCAACTTATCTGCTGCTTCTTTCAACTACTTTGCCTCTCCTGTAATAGTTTGGCTTTTAATCTCCTCTAGCAGATATTCCCTCCCAATCTCCTTACTAGTTCTTATTAATCTTCCTAGTCCTGGATAGCTGGACAGCTCACGATATCAACTCTGTGTGAAGCCCTACTCACTGTATATGTAATTAAAATGACTGCCACCTGGATCACATTAGGAGGCTCCGGTAGAGATGACTGTGTATGGTGAATCTAAGAGTTGCAAAACTGTGCAACAGTCCATAAGCCCAAAGCCAAGGTCAACAGTTTTAAGAGCCATAACTTATTTTTGCTTAAGAAAGGTCAGATTTAATCATTGAAGAAAATGAAGAAAACATGAAAACCCACTATGACCTCTTCTTGTTCTATCGAAACAGCTATTTTGGTTAAGGCAGACAGGATACAGACTAATCATAAAGTCTTAGGTTTTAGGAATTGTGTTCAGTATATTATTTAATAGATCTGAGAGACTTCAGAACTTCAGACTGAGTGAAACTGGAGCCTTGTTGGCCGTCTCTAATAAAAGCTCACCCTACTACTGCAAACAGATTCTGGAACAGAGAGAGAGAGAGAGAGAGAGAGAGAGAGAGAGAGAGAGAGAAATATCTGTTTATCCACACTACATGAGAATAGAAAAGTGATTGAACATTTTTATAAGATTAACATTTTCCTACACTGAAGTTTGCTCTTTTTTTAAACGATCTGACTTTGGATTCTTTAGTTAGTTTGGAAGAGCACATTTCAATATATTTGCAAAGAGTGAATAATCACCTATTTCATTCTGTCGGAAATTACAGTTCTGTACGCTAAGCAGCTTTTCTCCTCTGTACAGGAACAGTGATAGACTTGTACTGAAGCAGAAAAGGGGTTAACCTGGAAGAAAATGTGATTAAGGTGTGCAACAGGAAAACGGACTCCTCAAAGCAGGGAAGGAAGCATCTTACATGATGAATTTTCCCAAACTATTCAGACTTCAGCCAATAGAAATCTTTAAAAAATATGGGGGTGGGAATAGGATTGTTAACTCCTTATGTTTTCCAAACAAGTATCTTAAATAGAAACAAATTCATGGATTTAAAATATACATATTGAAAGTCTACTCTCAATCTGGAATTATGCTAACCTGTGTGGCTGTAATGGCAAATACTTATTCTTGTCACTTTACAGTTTGGGGGTTGGTGTTAACCAAAAACACAAATAAACACAAAATTAAAGTGTAATAGGTGCTGGAAATAATATAAACATCCATAAAAGGAGTCGATTTGGACATTTTTACAGAAATTATGAAGGAAAGACATGGTCATCATACTTATGACCAACAGTAATTGAGTACCTACTATGTGTCAGGCAACATTCTTGGCATGATTTATGCCTAACTTTATTTAACTCACACAGCAGTTCTAGGAAGTAATTTTATTATCTTTATTTTAAAGCCTGGAAATGGAGACAAAGAAAGATTATTTAACTTGCCCCTGTTTCATAGCTCACCAGTGGTGCAGCCTGGATTCAAATTCTGGCAATCTGGAACTAAAGTGCACATTCTTCAAGACAAGATGAAAGACAATTTTCATAAATTTAATTTCACCAAAATTTTGTATTGTTCTTTTTTTTTTTTTAGTGGCAGAGTGGTAAAATTTCAGGACCAAGGTCATGACCAGGAATGGAAAAATCACTCCAAGTATGACTCTTCCAATGAGGACATAATAAGATAAGAAGAAATTAGCTTGCATATAAAGTATAATGCCCCCTTCCTACACATTGAAGTGTCATTTCAATTTTATGGAACCTTAAACTGACTCTTAAAGTTACTGTATTTTGTGCTTCTTTTAACTTATAAAGAAAACGAGTAAAAAGTCCCAAAGAAAAAGATAACATAGTAAGATATATAGTTGATTCCTTCTTGCTTCTATTCCAAAGGTAGTTTGGAATTCTCTTTCTTTAAGAAAATATTCATTTGTTTATTTTCTTTGTTTGCTAGAAGACAAGTAAGCATACATTATAAAAAAATGTCCCGTATCCTTGCACATTTGGTTAACTTTGAATATGATTGCAAAGATGAGAAGATACTAGAAATAAGGAAAAAAAAACCAATGCAATTCAATAAGCATTTAATTTGACTTTAATGGGAAGTATTGATGTGAAGGAAATGAAAATTGATTACCAAATTCCTCAGGATTACAATCAGAGAAAGACATTCCAATTTAACAGATCTGGGATGCAAAAGTTCCTGACAGTAAGTTTTCCTTTTGGTAGCCTTCAATTCATCAGACAATACCCAGAGCCCAACTCACTGGTTGGCTCTAGTAAGGAAGAGAGTAATGTTTTATAAAAGCAACTGGGGTATCTCACCACAGTGGGAAATCACTTTTAAGCTGACATCAACAAGCCCTCACCAAGCCTTGTTCCTGGGAGAACTTACATAAATGACTGCTTTTCCCAGTTGAGAAGGGCTGCCTACTGTGGTGATAAGTAGTTCAAAGACATGGACTAGGGACTTGCGGTCAGGCCTTTCAAGGGGTAACTACAGGCTGTTCCCTTTGCTTCTGCCCCATGCAGTGAATGTGCAGACTCAGGCAAAGCCCCAGAAGGTAGGCCAGCAGGTCAGACGCATCCTACTGATATGACTCCTTTCTGTATTTGTATTTGTATTTGCTATGGACTATAAACCATAATGATGCAATAAAGGGCTGTGGCCATGAATTCCAATTGGCTGTGCAGTGCAATTTCATGGAGGGGCAAGTCCAACTGTTAGGAATTCAAACAACTTAATGATTTCAGTTTCACTGCATTGCTTTGCTCCCTGGGAACCTGAGGAGGTAAGGGAGTGGGCACCTCTCATAAATCCAAACATGCATGTTACACGAGAATAGTGAGAGAAGCTTTAAATCCATGTAGAACATTAAACCAATAAAAGTGTTCATCATACTTTTGGGTGAAAAATATTAATTAACTAGGAGAAGTTGATAAAATGTACTTCAAAAGAGATGAAACTACTCAAATATCTGTTTGTGTTTGTTTATATCTACATGAATATAAAATACCATTGGTTCTTCATCTTTAATACCTAGGGGATTTATAAGCATATTGCTTCAATAAAACTTGGTTCCTCTGTACAGTACACAGCTCAGATATGCATATTTAATTAGTCAGAAAGTAATTTACTCGTACAGATGGTGGTATTAGAGGGTCTTACTTCAGTTTAAATTACTTTCATTGGAAAAAAAGTACTCCTTGGCTTTGATTTCCAGGTAAAAATTTAACTTTTATAGCATGTGGGATATACCTACTTACAGTAATTATACATGAATAATCCCACAGATTATTGTAACATATGTAAAATTTTGAAGCCATTCATAGAGAGTAGTATTATAACATGGTAATTCAAGACTCTCAGATGCAAAGCAGAATGTTGTAAACCTTAAACCTTTTGCCAAAGCATAAAAAACAGCTTAGAAAAAGAACATGGGGGTTGGAATTTACAGCTGAAAGCAGAGAGAACTGTCTCCTGCTGACCACTGCCACTTAGGTCATTCAGTTTACACCATTAAGCCCCTCCTTCCTGGATGAAACTGGAAAGAAATTAGAAGATGATGCAGGAATATATACCTGGGCAGACCGTAGTGAGTCACCTGGACCTGTGTGCTTCTCGGCATTTTTTCCTCCCCTTTCTAGAAAAGGAAAGACTACCTTCTGATGGCAGTTTGGTGTCTTCCAAAACCACAACATTCATCCTGTTGAAACAAACAGCCAAATAAAAATCATCACTTTCCAAGGCAAGCCAGTCACAAAGGAAGACAAATAGCTTGTAGCATATTGCATTGATTATTACACAGTAGCTGGGTATTAAAAATGGGGAAAATATAACTGCTTTCAAAAAGGATATTGTTTTCTATTATGAGATTGAAAAAAGTGTCCATGCGTTTGCTCATTCTTCACTGCAAGTATTTCTTTATTAAAGTACTGCGTCTCAGGCAGCACATGTGTTATTCAACACTTTGGTTGCTATGGTACGTAGTCATGTTTTATTGAAGAGTAAAGGGCTACCACCCACAGAAGAGTCTCTCCGATGGCCTTAGCAGAAGCTCCCTCCCCCACTTTTTTTTTAAGTTAAACTGCTTTTTAATAAACATGAATTTTACCCTTCTTCAGAGAATGACTAAGTTTTTCTTCTGTCATCTCTCAAATCTATGTTTTGAAAAGATTATATTCATTACACAATACGAGGACCAAAAAGAGCCCAATTTAATAATAGAGTTTAAGAGAAAAAAAAACCACTACAAATGTATGTTCCACTGCAAATAAAATATTAAAATAGTTTATTAATTCCTTATATTTTCTCTATATTATCATTAATAAGCTTAGTCCCAAATCTGATTTTATTTCAGAGTCATCACTTTATTAATCAAGTTACATCAGCCTTACAAATCTACAACACACATATATAGATAGATTTTCTAAAATACAGAATCTAGGATCCAATTAGAAAAATATTTTGATAGTGTTTGCATGCTTGTGATTCCATTATAAAACATTTCTATGACACAAAGTCATACTTACAAAGCAATTTTCCAAACCAGTTTTAATATATCTATCTACCTATCTACCATCATCATCATCATAGCAATGAAGTATTTGTCATTTGGGGTAATCTGAATAATTCTAGGAAAAAAAGTGCAAAAAAAAAAAAAAAGAAAAAGAAAAGTGCACTTGGGTAAGCTAAGTTCTCACTCTGAGTGATGACTGTTTGATGTGGATATTACCCCTCCAAAAATATCCTACTCAAAATGAATTAACAAAAATGTGGTTTATGAAGACAAAATTTCTATGACAATCAAAACAATCTTTTGAATTTAAAAATCTCCAACTAGCTGTAGCATCCAGTTTCTTTCACTAATGCAGGTAGCAACTTCTGATCTGTGACATATTTCTATTTTTGCTTTATCTTTCTCAAATTTGGCCTGAATATGGCGAAGCCAGATCCCTCACTTGGGCCAAGTACCTGTGACTCAGCGTGCAGATTTTCCTATCATTGGTGTTAGCTGAATTGTTATTTTCTCACCAAGACTGAAAACTACTCCCATTTCATGAAGAAGAAAAACACAAGGCAAAGTGAGAAGAAAAGATAATAGAAAGCAGTGGAATGAGCACTTCTTTATTACACTATGGGCTCTGTGTGATGGGCCCTTTCCCTGCCCTGGATTGTGCATGTCACTGTCACACAGTGACCGCTGTAGATGGTGCTACAGTGTCACACAAGCGATACAGCTGTGCCCCCGAGACATATAAAAGGTAGCTTTTATGTTTAAGAAGAAATGTAAGAGGAAAAATGCTTGACCTAATTTGGTCGAGATTTTTCTCCATTTTTTTTCTTATATTCTTGTTTATTATATATTATCTGTTATAAGAACATCCCCTGTATGATTCATTTTATTGATTTTTATATTAAAGCAATTGAAAGCAATGTGGTATCATTTTCTGGCATAATAGAGTCATAGAAGCATGACAGCAGACACCTCACTGGGGGAAATAGCATGTAAATGCTATACAAATTAGCCTCTTCTAATGCAGTTAATAAAACAAAACAAACACTTGCAGACGGAGTAGAATTAAACAATGCATTAGAGCTCGGTGTATGAGTTTGCTGTTGTAGTCTTTTTTTTTATTATAAATGACCATTACTAAAATGATCCTAAATATTCCATTAAGGAAAACTTAACTTGCTAATAGGTGAAGACTAATGAGGCAATAGAAAGTATAATTGGAGAACTTGCTACCTCAACCACAGAAAATTATACTAGTATACAAAAGCAAATATCAGCATCTGTAAAAACTCTTAGTTAACCCCTAAATCTAAAAATGCATATATGCTTCCTTTACGTACTCTTCATTAATCCGAACTTGATTTATTATTTCATATATATTAAGGGTTAAATGCTATAAAAACATAGCACCAATGGAGTTATCATAGCAAGGGAAATAGGAATCATAACTTGTTGCATGGAGTGCTTCTTAAAGATTGACAAAGGTATGAGAGGGTCTGGGCCTCCAAAAGAGAATTTAAAATGGCAATGAGAGTCTATCTAGGAAAATAAATCGAATAGAACAAGTGAATATCATCTTTCCTTCCACGTTCACCTTTTTATTAGCTTCTTCCCACGGTGACCTCATGTTTCCCCACGGACTTTGATTCTCATACGTGCCCTATATGGATTTAATGTTTCTTGTTCCATTAGCTACATCTCCAACACTGCTTTTACCAAAGGAGCATGAATGTAGTTTTGCATTTTGATAATAAAATTCTTCAGTATCCAATTCCTGACCCGCCCCTGATTTTCAGCTTCATTACCTTCACATTTTGCTGACAGGTGGTAGTGGTTTGCTCTGAAATGCCATCAAGATAAAATAAATGAAAACAAATGTAATTCCAGATACAATGTGATAAGTGCCATTAGTGATATATAAACAGGATGCTGTGAGGTTTAGAGTTGCAAAATGCTGCTCTCAGGGATGTGAGGGAAGACTCGATTCAAGACACAACATCAGAATTTAAATCTGTGAATCCCAAACTGTGCTAGCAAAACACAGCTGAAAATATTTAGGGAAGAATCTTTTATAAGCCTAACAGAAAATTCTGGCCCACAGAGCTCTTTAGTTGCTTAAGAAATACATATATATATATATATATATATATATATATATATGGAATTCAATGTAGATATGGGCTTCACAAAGAAATAAGCCAATTATTTCAGCTTGAATGCCTTCTCACATGCAAGATAAAGTTCTTAACCAAATTGAAATTAACCCTACTAGTGCTAAATCTTTAGGATTTGGGGTATGTTTTAGAATCACATCAATCAGGGAAAAGCGCAGTTTAAATGAAGACAACATTTTGATATATTCTCAGGCAATTAGATGAAGTTCTAAATTTTTCCAGCTATATGTTGTAAGGAAAGGAGTGTGTGTTTTCACTTTGTAATTATTGAAGGTAATTCCCTGGACAAACACTACTGCATCGCCTTTCACTCCATGCTTCTGGGAGGAGCTATAAGGAGAGGTAGTCTTGGGCTTCCTTGGTTACTATGGATGTGTCTGAGGAAACGCCCAATCAATGCAAGGCAGTTTATATGCTAGGAATCCAAAAGAGTGTAGTTAGTGGTTAGGATCCAAAGCAGTGAATGGTCATGAGGACTGGACATGTGTGGTCAAGGAGGAAGTGGAGGCCATACCAGTGATGCTTGGGGTGGGAGGTGGGCAAAAGGAGCAAAGGAACATACAGGGTGGACAGGGTTAGTTTCACTGTTTGTTTTGGTACAGGGGATTGAATTCGGGACCTTGCTCTTGAGAAGCAGATGGTGGCATCACTGAACTAAATCCTCGACCAGGGTTTTAATAGTCCCTTGCACACCTGGGGGAGAACCACAGATTGTGCATAAGTAAGGGGTAGAGATGCTGGGGAAGCTCTTGTGTAGAATTTAGTTAGTTTAGGATATAAATAAATGGAGTTGGATTAAAAAGTGAATAAAAGGATTATACTGTACTCCAGCAAAACTTGATTGTATGACTGATGGACACATTTATTCATTGGTCATCCAGTGTGGTTAGGACATGTTCTAGCCATGCTGTAGACTGTGGGAATTTAGCAGAGGAAAAGATCGACAAATGAATACATCGTTAGCTGAAGTCTGCTTTGACATGAGCTGCTTTTGAGTAAGAAAATAATAAAAGCTGATTGGATATAAAAGATGCAGATTTGGAAACAATTAGTCAAAATAATCATTGACTAGCAAACAAATATTAATTCATATTAATTATCAAATGGGTCAATCATCAATTAACTTTGAAATAGAAGAAATGAGTAGCATGAGTTACTGATATCCATAGATTTTTCATTAAATAGTCCTCTTTCTCTCTCAATAAAACCTTTCTTGGGATTGAATGAAGTAAAAAATTACTGCACTGAAGAATTTTCCTCTGTATCGTTTACAAGAAATAGAGAATCTAAACTTTTGGTCAAAACCTAAAACAGTGAAGTTGAATGTAGGAAATGAAAGAATAAAGTTTAGATTATTTTATAGGATGATACTCCTAGTGCATACCTACACAGTGTCCCCTGCTGGTCAAAAGACTCTGGTAAATATGTCTCCTTACCTATTCTGTCTGGGTCAGACATACAGGGCATCTGTTGATTGAAGGGGCTACGGAGAGTGAAATGAACTAGTCTTCCTTATAGAAGATGGAGTCAGTTAGCCTTGATTTGTTCAGTTACTGATATCAACTTTAGAGGCATTCTAACTCAGCAGAGTGTCTGCCATTCATTTAGTTGTACATCTGAGGTCTAGGAAAGGAAGGCTATGAATAAACACTAAAGGATGAAGCTCACTGGACTGCCATCACTTAAGAAACAGGAATATAGCTTAGAAGTTTGATTCAACAAGATAGTGCCTGAAAGGAAGGAAGGGAGGAAGGAAGAGAGGGAGGGAGAGGAGGAGGGAGGGAGGAAAGGCAGGCTGGGATGGAAAGAAAAAAGAAAGGAAATGAAGGAGGAAGGAAGGAAGGGCTGGGATGGAAGGAAAGAATAAAACATATGAGAGGAGGAAGGAACGAGGAAAGAGACAGGAAGGAAGGGAGGGAGGAAGGGAAGAAGAAAAGAAGACATAAAATGAAAGAAGGAAGGAAATTTTCAAAAGGAAGGAAGGAGAAGGTATTGTCTCATCAGTTCCACTGATGAAGGAACATAGTGGTTCAGGAACAGACCAGAAAAAGACAGTAATGGAGCCAAAGGATGAGGCAGGAGAGCCTGGCACAGGCAGCCATGCTGGACAGACTTGGATAACGACAGGTGGGACAATATTCCTGTAAGTGGGACAGAGAAGGAATAGCAACGGTGCCTGCCAGAGGCCATATTGCATTTGACAGATCTCATTTTTGAGCAGACAAAAATGGCCCTGAGGAACTTCCAGAAATTCGTAAGTGGTGGGGAAAAAATGGATGCTATGCTTGAGGCGTCTGTGATAGCAGGTGGGAACCGGAGGAAACAATCCAAAAGTAACCTATTTACATGAGTCAGCCCAACAGAGCTCAGAATGCCTGAGAAACAGAGGTTTCACCACACATTTAATCAATGCCTAGGAAAATGAGATGTGAATATGATGGCTTTGTTAAAGTAAAGGAACCACTGTGCAAATGTTACAAAGACACAGCAGAGCTGCAGAAACTCATGAAAAATCAGGACTTTTGGCATTGCACATTTTCAATGGATGTCACGTATTTATTTATTAAAAGGAAAGAAGAACTAAAAACAATATCTAGAAAAAAAGCTATTGCGATAGAGGCACACAGTTTATAGAGGTCAAACGAAGATGTAAAACCAGGGCATTTCCACTGACCATAAATTTTGTAAATAAAAATTAAAATTTTCTTAGGGAAATGTTAGGAAAGAAAACTTTTTTATGCAATACTTGATACTATATTCAGGTACGCACTTCCTTTTGTTTTCTCATAATTCTGTTGTCACTTCTGTTTCTACTACCTTGTTTTCTTTCCTTATGTCTTCTTTTCGTCTCCTTCTCCCTTGCTCTAATTTTTTTCTCTTTTCTTTCTCCCTATTTTCTTTAATCTGCTTTTCCTTTCTTCTTCCCCTCCAAAATCCCTAACCCAAGGTCTAAATCACATTGCTCTGGAAGTCACAATTTATGCAAAGGCACTTTGAATATCAGTTTCATTCTATAATTCAGGGTGCCTCTACATATGTAGTATAAAAGGATTTCAAGGGAAAGAAGCAATAACTTCATGACTGTGGCAGAAGCTGTCCATACAAAATGAACACACTTCAATGGTAGTTAATTCCAAGGACATTGTAATAAAAGCCTTGTGGAACTGAATTCAAGTATATCTTCCTAAAATGTTTAATACTGCCTACCAAAAAATGTAATGAAACCATTACTACAGTAAGTCCCCGACTTAGAATGTGTTCCATTCCCAGAAAACATTCGTGTTGGATTCGTTTGTAAGTCTGATGAAGTGAGTCTTACCTACCTCTAACACTATGCAACAAAAAACATAAAAAAAAACCAATCACAAAAATACTGTAATTAAAGTATTCTTACTTTTACAAATGGTTGTATTCAGTATAATGACTATAAAGAATGTGTGGCATCTACCATCTTTTCCCCTTGGTCCAGTCTCAATTATTTTCACTTTTGTTCCCATGGTTATTGCTTTGCATTTCCCAGCAGTCCCTTCCATACCACCACTGCTTCCGGACATCCGGGGCTCTGACGGAGCACCGTACTCCTGTACACTGGGGCACTACAGGTAAGCTCACAGCAGTCCAGCTGTGACAGTGTCTGGCAGACATGTGAGCTACTTCCAAGATCTGTTCACATCTAGCAATGTTCCTATTAGAGGTCCCTTTGACAGAACTGTATCTGTGAAAGCTCACAACTCAAATGTTTGTAAGCTGGGGACTTACTGTATCTGGCTTTTAGTTTAGTGACCTCAATTAGATTTAGGAATTCACTTCTGTATATGTGTGTTGCATTCTTTATTATTTCTCCAAAGTCTTCAAATAGCCTTGTCTATACTGATGCAGTAAAATACAGATTTCTGTGATTTCAGTTTCAGACAGCCTCTATCAAGCATTTTCTTACAATTTAATAAATGTAGAAATGTTGCAATAAAAGGAGGAAAATATAAAATTGCAAAATGAGACATATGTGAAAGTTTAGGTTACTTGGATTTATTTTTGCCCCAAACCCTGATATCTCTTAATCATTCTATTTTCCTTCATAGTACTTACACTGCCTACTATGATTCTTAGGGTTGCTAGGGTGGGATGTAACACGAGTGTCTTTGAGACGCCTGGAGGATTGGTTGTGCACACATCTGGATGAGTCTGGGTGGATCGTGGGGTGTCAGCTTGAGTCTGTGTCTGGTCCCTGGCTCCTTTCCTTTCTGCTCTGTTCCCTCTTCTAACTTCTGGTGCCATGGACTGACCAAATTTCCTCCACTACATCCTTCCGCCATGACATTTCTACCTAGGAGCCAGAGGACAACAGACTGGAAGCCATTAGTCAAATTTAAACTCTTCTCCTTTAAGATATGTGTCTCACTTATTGGATCCAGTGATGAGAAAGTTGGCTAATATGCTACTTAATTTTTATTTATTTATTTTTCATACTGTTTTATTCCCCCTACTAGGAGGACAAATTCATGACAGCAGGGATATCTATGTGAGGGTGGATATGTATCTGATTTTTATCAATACCTGGGATTGCATCTTGCCCATACTAGGTAGTAATTAGTATATACTGAATAAGTCTGTCTTGCTTCTGGAAATTTTATGATTATTCTGATGTGGTGAAATATTTGTTAAGAAGATTCTTATAACACTAAAAGAAGAAAGTAGCAAGTAATGGCTTTTAAATATATCATAGCCCATCATTTTTGAGAGGAAAAGTTTACTCAGAAATCAATATTTCATCATGTAATATTTCTAAAAGGCATGTGTTTGTGTTTATGCATGTGGGGGGTGCGTGCATGCTTTAAAACATAGATTCAAAGTTAATACATTAGCTGCTGTATTGCAGGCCTTTTAATAAAAAGCATTTTAGAATTCAGCTATGACTCATGAATCCAGGCTGACTTTCCCAGATGTGAGAGAGTTGTTAAACCCAGAAGCATATGTAGGGTTAGATTACTAGGCAATACCAGTTTATTAAATGTTTTTTGGAGTGTCTCCTGAGTAAAAGGCCCTTATGCTATAGGGAATAAAAAGAGAAAAAGATGTATTCCTCAGAGAGATCAAAAGAATTATCAATCAATTCAGCTTGAAACAAAGAAATATTGAAAAGGAGGGGGTAGAGTAGTATGATGGAACTTTTCCTTAAACAATTAGAATAAGCTGGATTTTAACAGATGTGCAGGGCTGATGTGGTGAAATGAAGGTAAAGGTGAAGACGGACATAAAGTGGTGAATAGGCATCAAGCTATGTGGGAACCAAGAACAGTTTGAGACAACTGAAGTGTAGACTTATTAAAAATGGAGTCACTTTTCTTGAGTGTGTAGTTTTTGATTAGAGGGTATTCATAACTAGGCTCAGGGAAACCACATAGGAAAAGGCCCCTTCTCCATTGCTCTCTTACTCCAGGATTTTGTGAGACCCCTTTAGATACAGAGAATTAATGCATGCTGGAGTTGAGACGATGTAGGCAGAAAGAATTGGAATTCCCATAGGCAAAAGCAGTAGAAAAATATTTACTAGGCACTTTAGTTTCTCAGTTTACCAGTTATTAAGTCAAAGACCTGAGTGTCTGTAAAAGCATCTTCCAGATAATGTTTATGTAGAGAATGGAGTATGAAGGGGAAACCGCCATTCATATCCACTGAAATTGGAAAGTCTGAGACACTGCTCTCCAAATCTTTGAATTGAAGCTTAAAGTAATGAATATATAATGAGGATGAGTCATTAGGTTTCTCATCACCATTCTAGCCTCAACGATGCCATTTTTCTTTAACTAGATTAACTTGTTCTTTTTATAAGGGTTCATAATATGCAACATGAGTCTCTGAATTCTCACCTTTGAGTTACTATTCCTGTCAAATTTACCAAGTGAAATACTATACCTTTCTTTGGCTTTTTCTAGAATATTTCTTACTGTTTTTTTTCTTAATACTGATTATGATAGTAATACATAATAGCTACACATGCTTAAAGATACAAATGAGTACAAGTGAGAAGAAATACCTGAAATGTCACAGCTGCTATTATTTCTGTCTGCAATCTTCCCAGTCTTTTTTTCATGCTAATGATGAATAGCTAGAATGAAATATTTTGCATGAAAAAATATACATGCAGCACAAATTAAACAGATATATGTTATTTCTACTTAAAATATATTCCAAATATTTTCACATCAATTATATTTCCTTCAGAATGTAACTTTTAATTATTGTGCAGAACACTAATATAAAATATGCTATAAATCTCTAGTTTTGGGTCATTTAAACTTCATCCAACTTTTCATATTAAACAATACAGAAGTATATTGCACGTACACATTTAAAATGCCCATTATTATTTATGGTAATATTGCGAGGTAAAACATTTACTCAATTTTTCAGTGTTTTAACCCATGTAATCACTTTTCAGTTGAGCATGAATGACTTTTTCTCAATACTTTCTAACTCTGAATAGTGTAGATTAAGAAAAAAAACACTTTAGAAATGTGACATATAGTTGTGAACACCTACAATTCCAGCACTCAGGGGACTGAAGCAGCAGAGAATCATGAGTTCAAGTCCACTCAGGACTACATAGCGAGACCTTGTCTCAAAAAACAAAACAAAAGTGACATATTATCTTGTTATCTTAACCAATATTGTTATTACTATTGAACATTTAAAATATGTTCATTATTGTTAGCATTTCTTCATTTTTAAAGCAGGTGTCTACTTGGAAATTTTAATTTATCAAGCTCTAAGTGCTCTTCAAATGTTAGATACAGTAAACCTTAATTTCCCCCTTATGTGTGAATTCTTATTTAGACTTTTTAAAATGGAGCTAGGAATATAGACTATAATGCACAGGGTCCTGTCTCAATTCTCTGAACTAAAAATCACAAAAATGTATTCTTATTCATAATGAATATCTGGTCATGCTTACATAGGTAAATATTTTTTTAAATAACTTATGAAAGTAGAAAATTCAATTAGAAAATAAATTATACTTCACAATTCTCATTTTAAAAGATCTGAATTGTTGTGATTAATATTATAATATTAGCTATTTAGGCAACAAATAACAATAAAAACAATAATTTGTTCTCTAAAATTGGCAGCAATCAGAATGCAGACTAGATGAGGTGGTGTTTCATCAGGAAAGCAACAGCTAGATGTTTAGTTGATATACAAAGTTCCATAAAACATTAGGGAAATATGATTAAAAGCATATTGAGAATACCCACAACAGGAACAGCAAGGTTATGTGTAGATGGGACTAATTTGATTTTCCTTTCAGACTTTTGATCAATATTATTTTGGCATGGAAAGTCATAAATTAAAAATAAATCATTCCGATTGCTTATGAAGATATTTATTTAGTAAACTACCAAACTTTTAAAATGAGATTTGGCCTTAGATTTTCAAGTTGGTTCTTGTTTTATCCTTGTCTTGATATTTGCTTAATTTAAATGGCTGTTTGGATGGTGGTGTTTGCAAAAACCTTGACTTTTAGCCACAAGATATTCAACCAAAAAATCAAGACCTAAGCCACCTTTCCTGAAATATCTTTCTCATAATGTTTATTTTATTCAACCTGAAAACTGCATTCAACATGCTGAAGTTTTATATTTTCCTTTTCTCAATACTTCCTTCATAAAGCAAACAAACCAAAACCAAAACAAAACAACTTTGAATGCCTGGAGAGTGCCTTATAGATAGGCCAGATTGCTCTCCATGGTCATTTCTTTGTACAGTTCCAATCCTTAGTTAAAAGCATCTACCATGAATGGTTAAAAAAAAATTGTACATTTATACCATCAATACTATGCAACAATTGGAATGACCTATGGATACAAACAATTTGAGTCTTTCTCAAGGTCATTATGTTGAGATTAATTCAAAAATTAAATGTAAAATAATAAACTATGATCCTATTTATATTATTGAAAGAAAAATATATAGAAATAAAGAACAAATTAGGCTGAGGTTATAGATGGTGGGGGAAGGGAAATGATATAATTATAGAAGATAAGAGCCACATAGTTGTAGTGCTGGGAGTTTATCTGATTGCAATAATGAATTTACAAATAGGATAAAATGACATTGAACATATATGTTATTATATGTGTGTGTGTTCAATGCCAATACATATCTATCTATCTATCTATCTATCTATCTATCTATCTATCTATCTATCTATCTATCTGTTGTACCAATGGTAGTTTCTGGGTAATGATGTTATACCATAGTTACATAAGATTCAATCATTAGGAAAAACTAGATATAGAAGCTCTCTATGTATTATCTTTACTGTGGCTCTAAAATTATTTCAAAATAAAATGTTTTAAAAACCTGTCCAAAAATAAGTGGGGATAGAAGCCTTTCTAGAGTTTCAGTCATGAGTGAACTTTAAGATGTCTAAAAGTGACACCTGCTTTTAAAAATAGAACAAAAAAC